CTTCTTCGCCCTCTTGGGCGTGGGGGCCATCCTCGAGAACCACCCGGCGACTGCGTTGAACTCTGAGTAGATGGCGCCCAGCTTCCCGGCAACGGCTGGGATCTCTGGATCTGGGACGGGGTCGGCGTCCTCGGACGAGCTCTTGAGATGGATTTTCTCGACGCTGTTGAATGTAGACTTGAACCTGGGAATCAGCTTCCCAACGTCTGTCTTCAGCGGGCCCAGGTACTTCGACTTAGATTTACCAGATGCCACCTCGAAGATGCGCTCTGCCTCTGTGAGCGATTCGGAGAGGGATCGTAGGACCGCCTTGGGCTTGTCCTTGATCGAATTGAAGGTCTTCAGGTCCTCCTCTGGCTTCTGCCCTCGACCTTGATCTTCGCGTCCTTGAGCTTCTCAGCGCCTGCGCTGCCAGAGCTGCTAGGCGCGGTCTCGAGGATGCCAGCTGCCGCCAAGTCCTCCGCGAACTCAGCCTTCTCCTTCTCTGACGTAATCTCCTTCTCGGACTCCATCGTTTTCCCGACGTCGTCGGTGTTGGTGTTGATCTCCTCGCCCTCGTAGATCTTGCATTCTCGACTCCACTCGTCGTCCAGCCCCGTGTCTCGATCAGGCCTGTGGCGATCGGCCTTGTCGCCCAATAGTTTGATATTCGCGAGCGCCTTATGCTCGCCAAACAGCTGGATCATGCCGCGATTCGCCATCCACTTGCTCTTGTCAACATCCTCCTTCTTATGGTTGACCTTCCACCACGTGCGGTTGGCCGAGTTGCCCTCCTCCATTGATTTGGCAACCCAGCTGACGAAGAAGACCTTGCGAGCAGCTGGCGTCAACGCGTCGTATCCAGCTCTCTGCCCTTCCGAGGCCAGCCAGTGCATCAATTTTGAACTCCGTCGATGCTTCACTTCCTTGTCCTCCAAGAACTTTTCCGCATCCTGAACGTCCTTGTCGGTGGCAGATGGCATTTCCAAAGGTTCTGCGTCAACTGCCACCTTTTTTTTCACCTTGGGAGCCATCCAACCAAATCAAATGCAAAGTTGACTTCTGTTCAGTGATACACGTGCGCGGCTGTGAGTGTGAGCCAAAACGTGCCTATACGGTACATTCGTGAACAGTTTTCCATAATTGTCCAGACTTTCTCCAGACTCTGGAAAAATCTGGAGTTTATGTTTTCTGATTGAATCTGGTTACATGCATGTTATTCAGAATTTTTCCAGAGCCCGGAAAAAGTCTGGGGAATTCTGGAACATCAAACTGGCACCAGGCACAGCAACCATTCCAAGTCCGAGGGTGGAGATGGGCAGGTTGCCTCTACCAAGAGGGGGCCGTAGGGGGCCGCGAGGGGCCGCAGGGGGCCCCACGGGGCCGCGCGGGGGCCTCAGGGGGCCTTGAAAGGGCCTTAGGGTGCCTTAAGGGGGCCGCATGGGCTTGGGTGACTTGAAACGTTCTTCGCTCCTCCTCCTCCCCCCCCCCCCTTCCCCCCCCCCCCCTCCTCCTCCGCTTGAAACGTTCCTCGCTCCTCCCCCTCCTCCTCCGCGGGCCGCTGGAATCCCACCAGCCCTCTGGGCGCAGGTGGTCTAGGGCGCTTCCCTTTCCAACCTCCTGCCTTTCCCTGCTCGGAAGGTTTACCCCCCCCCCCTGCGTTTGGACGGGCATGTGTGTGTGTGTGTGTGTGCGTGTGCGTGCGCCGCGGGTGTGTGTGTGTGTGTGCGTGTGCGTGTGCGCGTGCGCGTGCGCGTGTGCGTGTGCGTGTGCGTGCGCGTGCGCGTGCGCGTGCGCGTGCGCGTGCGCGTGCGCGCGCGCGCGCTTGCGCGTGCGCGTGCGCGTGTGCGCGTGTGCGTTTGGCGTGTGCATTGTGCGTGTGCGTGTGCTGTGCGTGTGCGGTGTGTGCTGTGCGTGTGCGTGTGCGTGTGCGGTGCGCGTGCGCGTGCGCGTGCGCGTGCGCGTGCGCGTGCGGCGTGCGCGTGCCGCGTGCGCGTGCGCGTGCGCGTGCGCGTGCGCGCGCGCGCTGCCGCGTGGTTGTGTGTGTGTGTGTGTGTGTGTGTTCGTGTGCTGGCGCCGTGCGCGTGCGCGTGGGGGGGGGGGGGGGGGGGGGCATGGCGGCGTCCAAGATGGCCCAAGATGGCTCCAAGAGGGCCTCCGAGAGCGCAAGGTGGCCTCCAAGATGGCCCAAGATAGCGGTAGACGGGTCAAGATAGCCTCCGACACGCGTCCAAGAGGCTTCGAGACAGCCCCAAGACGGTTTCAAGCGCCCTCCGAGGCCTCCAAGGACCCCCACAAAAAATGCCAAAACCCTTGAACAACCTAAGTAAAATCACTTGTTGATTTGCCTTCTCGTTTTTTTTGTCGCTTCCGAAGGGCTCTTGGGGCCTCAAGATGGCACCGATATGGCCCAATACAGCCCCAAGGGGGGCCCAAGAGAGCCATCGTAACTTGCGCCGATGCCCATCTTAAACTTCAATGCGGGAAGCTATGTGTGGTGTTTTTTCTGTGCACCCCAACATGATTCAAACGCAGTGGAAACATGTTAGCGCCTCGGCCTGTTCAGCTAGGTGCGATGCTTGAGTTCTCGAAGGCGGCTGCGCGACTGCATGCATTATGCCGCCCCTGATTCACCAACTCCCTTGCTGATCGTTTCTCGATGGGCTGGTGGGGATACGCGAAGCGTCAAGAATTATCAGGACGCAGGCCTCCTCATCCTCGTCCTCTTTCC